ACTGCTGAATTCAGGAGCCCTGTAAGAGGCGGGCGCCTAGACCAGGGCAGCCATGGGAGAAGGGGGTTGGCCAGTCCCAGGATGTCCCAGAAGCTGGCAGAGGGGCTCGGTGAGAGCTGGAGCTGGACGGCTGGGGGCCGCCCTGGGCGCTAGCGCGGGCGTTGTACAGAGGGTGGCAGGGCTGGGGGAGTGTGCAAGGAGTGGGGAGGCCCAGGAGAGCTCCCTTTCCATGGAAGTAGGAAGTGAGCTGAGGCTCAGGCTGGTGTAAGGGCACCTTGGAGGTGCACGTCCTGACACACCCAGGAGAGCACGGCCACTGCCAAGGAGGGCCTTTCCTGGGGCTGCCCGGGAATGGTGGGGGATGGACGAAGGGAGACACACACCTTTACCTGCAGGCCAGCCGCAACAGGAGGGCCACACAGACACACAGACTTGACACAGACACAGACAGATCTACTTGGCTGTGTCCCCGTGCACTCAGAGACAGGCACACGCTCACACACACGCACCCACTCGGGCCTGTGTGCCAGGACACACGCAGCAGGATGAGGACATGCACACGTGCACATACAGGTGCACATCATCCTGGCTCACTGGGATGCACACGGCCAGCAGGGCCCAGGTGAGCCTGTCGCCGGATGACTCATGCTCGGCAGTTCCCGTTAACTGGGCTGCGGCCGGGCAGCCTTCCAGCAGCAGGTCAGACAGCCGCTCACATCACTGCCGGGAAGAGGCCCTGGCAGCCTCCTGTCTCAAACCCATGGCATGACGGCGCACAGCCCTGTCCTTCAGGTGGGGTCACTGGGGTGTGGGTGTCACCTCTCCGGCCCTGGTGTCTTTTCTCAGGCTGGGCAGCATGACCTGGGGCCAGAGACCCTGCTTCCACCTCCGTTCCTGGAGACCTGCTCTGCTCTGCCCATCTGGGAGCCAGTCCCTTGTGGGCACCCGGGGTGAGGGTGGGGAGAGTAGTCTGTGTCCTTGGGTGTGTCCACCGTCTGCATGGGACTGTCAGGGACCTCAGCCTGACCATCCGGCTGTGACGGCCTGGGAACAAGGGGCAGTCTTGCGCAATCAGAGACCGTGGGGCACAGACCCAGCTCTGTGTCCCCTGCCCCGTTAGGCATGGGATTTTGGCGAAGCACAGGGGGGCTGTGGTGGCTCCCCTCAGCTTTAGGGAGGGGGGAGATGGAGCCCTGGGGTGGGGGGGGCTGCCCCACCCCAGCAGAGGCCAGGAGGAAGAGGTTTCACATGGCCACTGAGAGAGGAGCAGAGCCACACTGCTGGCCTCGGTGCGCTTAAGTGGTCCCTGGGAGCCTTGGCCAGCCAGGGCCCGGGGAGGCTGGCGCAGGGGCCCGCCCTGGGCTGCTTCTGCCCTGGCTCTGGTGAGGGCTGGGCTGGCTCACACCATCCTACAGGAGCCTTGCTTGCTCTGAAGCTGGGGAGTTGACGGTGCTGGCTTGGGCCCCAAGACGGGGGTAGGCAGGCACCCCCAACCCAGGGCCTGCCCCTCCCCCTCTCCTGCTCTGAGGCAGACGGCTAGCATCATCTGTTGTGCTTGCCCTCCATGGGCCCCATTTCATCTCTGGGAGGACCTGGCCCCCAGCAGGGTACCCCACAGACGGCGGGCTGTAGGATGCAGAGGGAGACTGGCCCTCGCCTCCTCCTGCCAGATTCCCCCTCCTTCCCCATCCTTTCTCCTGCCTGCAGGGGCCTCAGAAGCCCCAGGCTGGACCGGGATCGCAAGGCCAGACCAGGGAGAAAGCCGCCTGGGTGGGACCTAGGAAGCCCGTCTGTGCCGCCCCTGATGCCCCACACCCCATTCAAAGCCTGGCGGCGAGCCTGCCGCAGAGCCCTGTGCTGCCAGGAGCTCCTGTCATCATGCCCAGCTCCAGCCCCATCCTGATGTCCCCCTCTGGGGACAGAGGCCCCACTGCGGAAGGCCACAGAAGCTGGGCATGACTCAGAAGTTGCTGTGCCCCCCAGAGGCATGGAGACAAGGGCCCAACGTATAGCCATCCCTGGCACAGACAAGGCCCCACACCATCTCCAAGTACCACCCCACGGGGTGGGGGGCCTGCGGTGGTTGACTTGCACAGGCACCATGTCCTCCCTGGGACCACCGAACCAGGGGCACCGGGTGCCACACCCAGCCCTGGCCCTGGCTGGGGGCCAGGGGTCACAGGCTTGCCCACAGCTTCCCAAGACTGGGTACCTGGGTACTGGTACTGCGGTGCAGGGCACTGGTGGGGCCAGGGTGAGGAGCAGGGGCTGCCAGCCACGTGTTGGCAGGCCCGGCTCCTCTGCAGAGCCCCCCTGTCCAGCCCCCTGCCCCCGTGGCCAGCTGCTCCAGGAATGCCCAGGGCATCAATGATTGATATCTCCTTGTAGCAGCCAGCAGCATAAGCAAAACTAGCTCTTGCTGCCATCGTCCCTGCCCTGGCCGAGCCCAGGCAGAGGGGCAGCACAGGGTGGACAGGGCACCTGGACCTCCTCAGCTGCCATCTGTCCCCCCACCAGGTCCTTTGCACGGAGGCCATGGGAGAGGGCTCTAGGGCTGCTGGCCCCTGGCCGCTAGCTGCCTCATTCTCCCCAAGCTGAGTGCCTGCTCCCGGCCTGGGGATGGGCACCCTCCTCGACTCACCCCAAGGACTTGGTTCTGAGGACCCCAGAGGAGCAGAACAGCTAGGGCTTCCGGGGGGAGGGACCCCTCCCCATCACTCATCAGGATGCTGAGGGTCCCTGGAGGGAGTGGAGGCTGCCCCTGCCTCCTGATGCTGGGACAAGGAAGGCTTGACTGGGGGCAGCAGACAAGCTGCCACCCTCATTCAGCAGGGCTGGGGCTCAGGGATGGACCGAGGTGTCCCTCCTGAGAGGTGCTTGGGAGAGCCACACTGTACCCACTCCCTCCATGGTCCCTTTGGGGGGTCATGGCTTGCATCCCCTGAACCTCCACTTTAATGAGGACCTGCCCCTCTCACCAGTCCTGCTAGCTGGTGAAACCTTTTAACCTTGAACAGTCGCCTGCTCTGCCCACCCACCTGGAGTCCTGGCCCTTGGCTGGTGCCCCATGGCATGCCCAGTCTGCCCAGACGCTGGCCAGGGAGCACCTGTCAGTTACTTGGGCTGCCCCCACCCCTCCTGCAGCCAGAGCTGGGCACCCAATGTCGGGGTCACCTCTGCTGCCGCCTCTGAGTCTTGGCTCCCCAATGGCAGCACCCCCTCAGTGGGGTCACTGAGTGTCCTGTGGCCCCTGTGACAAATAACCGCATACTCACTCAGTGGCTTCAACCAACACACGTTCATTCTCTTACAGTTCCAGGGGTGGGGGGTGGGGTGGGGGTGGGGCTGCATTCCTTCTGGAGATTTCAGGGGAGATCCATCCCCTTCCCCGTTTTAGCTCCTAGAGGCTGCCTGCTTGCCTTGGCGCGTGGCCTCCCTCCACTCTGACCTCTGCCTCCGTCTTTCCACCTCCTCTCTCAGGCTCTGGCCCTCCTGCCTCCCGCTTGTAAGGACCCTTGTGATGACACTGGGCTCAACAGCATAGCCTAGGACCATCTCCCCATCTCAAGAGCCTTCACTTAATCACGTCTGTCAAGTCCCTTTTACCTTGGACGGTCCCACATTCACCGGTTCTGGAGATGAGGCCATGGACTTCGCTGGGAGGCGCTAACCAGCGGCCACACCGAGTAATGCTTTTTGCCTGGGTCATTTCATCCTGCACCCTGAGGGTCACATGCCATCCTCGCTGTTCAGTGAGGCCCAGACAGGGCGTGGGGAGCTGTGGGAGAGCTGGTTCCAGCCCTGGCCGCACTTCTCACTCAGGCCTTTGGGCCTGGGCCTCAGTTTCCCCACCAGCACGCGAGGACAACACTCCTCCCCCTTTCCAGCTCCCTGGACTGTGAGGACAAGGACAGTGGATGGACAGCAGCCCCAGTGGTCCTGCTGTCCACTGAGGCGAAAGGGAGCCAGCAGAGCTGGGCAGTCTGGCTGTGTGGCTCGTGCACTGCAGTGCAGGCCGCTGTGCCCCTCAGGAAGCAGGGGAGGGGACAGGAGGCTGCGGTTCAGGCTTCAGAGAATGATCTCATCTGGTAATTTTTAAAATTAATATTTTCGGTAGCTTGGCGGAAAAGGACCAGGGAGAGAGTGGGTGGTTCATGCAAACAGGGCAGGGCCTAGGCAGGGCCCAAGGTCACAGGGTGAGGAAATGCGCGCACTGAGGTAGTCCGGGGACGAAGTGTGGATCAGGGCTTCGGCCGGGGCGTGATGGTCCCATCTGGGAGGCTGGAATCAAGCTCACACATCACAGCTGCTTTCATAAGACGGGGGTGGGCGCTGATGGGGAAAAGCCCGGAATGCCTGGGCGGGGAGCTGGCAGGAGGGCAAGGCCGGTGCATTGGTGCCCCTTGGCCTGAGTAGTGGCAGCAGGAAGGGCTGGTGACCAAGCCGAGCATCAGGGCGCTACAAGGGGCCCGGCAGGGAGGGGGCGGCGCTCCTCTCCGCCCGCAAGCCGCGGACCTTCGCCTCCCCACACGTCAGGAAGGACTTGGTTCTTGGAGTCCGCAGGGCGGACGGCCGCCGTCCTCCCGGAGCCTGCGGAATACACATCACACGGCTACGCGACAGCCCTCGGCAGCGGCACGAGGGCCGGGGGGTGCGGCGGGGGCACCGAGGCGCCGTCGCGTTCCCGGGCCGGAGCCGCGCGGGGCTGCAGCGAGACGACTTGCACGGTTAAACAGCGGCCCCTCTGCCCGCCGCGTCTGGGAGGTGCCGGAGCGCAGGGCGCCGAACCGCTCACTTCGCTCGCGGGACTCCGCTGGCGCAGGAGGCGGGGCCTGGCGCTGCCACGCCCCGCGCGGCGCCGGAGCGCTGGCGTCACGGCGGCGACGCCGGAAGCGGGGCTGGTGCGCGTCGTTGCCGGGCAACGGGCCGGAGCTGGGCGAAGCGACAGCGGGCTGCCGGCTGCTTCGGCGGGCGGAGGGGCGAAACGGCCAAGGTGGGTGCCGGCCGGAGCCAGACGCCGAGGCCCGAGCGCGCCCAAGCCCGCCCCTCGGGAGCCGCGGGCCAGGCCCCCGCCGGGGCCTCAGCGGCTGAGCCCGACTCCCGGCTGCCTTCCGGCCCTCCCCGCCAGAGGACGACTCCGAGCCCCCCACCGCACTCTCGGGGATCTATGGGCGTTGACTCCCCCGGGCTTCCCGTACCTCTGCCCACCTGGCCCAGGCAGGACCCCGCAGTTCGTCCGCCTCCCAGGCCCGGCCGTCCCCCAGCCTCTGTGCTCCGGGCAGCGGCTTCAGTCCCTTTCCCTGGGTGACCAGGCTGTGTATGTGGTTCGTGTCTGTTCCACAGCGACACGGGACCCACAGTGGGCCATCTGCACTCCCGAGGAAGCCGCCGGCAGCTACTGGGCAGTGGGCGAGCAGGCAGCCCGGAGGCCCTGCCCAGCCCCGCGCCTCCCGGTACAGCAGTGTGTAGTCTCCTGAGCATCTCCCCTTCTATGCGCGCCAGGCGAACCCAACATGCAAGGCCCGCGGGAGCTGGGAGCAGAGCCCGGCCACAGGCTCCTTCTGAGCGGGTCTCCGAGTGGCCTCGCAGCGGAAGCAGGGGAGGTTTCCCTCCACCAGGCTTCTGAAGAAAGTGATGCAAACGAGGCGCCAGGGAGACAGAGTGGTGCCAGCGTGGGATGGGGGCGGGCCCGCTCCCGCCTTCCTCCATCAGATGGGGCAGCCAGGCTCTCTGGGCTCAGCAAGGGCTTTTCCGCCTCCGCCTCCGCCTCCGGGGGCCCGGACCCAGGGGAACACAGCAGTGCCTGGGGGCAGTTTGAAGGCTTTCGGGAATCTTCAGCCACGTTCGAACAATTCTCTCAGCCCTTCGAATCCCCAGAGAGGGCCGCAGCACCTCAGCCGCCAAGAACTGCTTCTGCCCAAAAGGAGTGTGGCTCTCAGCACTCTCACGAGGGCGGCCCTTGGGTGACAGGAGCAGCCGCCATCTCACCTTCCGAGGTATTTCTAAAGAGTCCGCAGGAGGTGTTTTATACGCTGCAAGGCCAGCAGACCTCAGGCTGCAGGGGGCTGACCAGGGTCGGGGGCTGCCCCTGTCTTGGCCTTCGTCCCATGCTCCTGAGCCAGGGAAGGACTGAGGCGGCAGAAAAGGGGGGCAGCTCGGGCTGGGCCGCACCCCATGCACACTCCTCCTCAGCCACACCGGCCTCCCACCTTCCCCTCCCCTCTTTCACCTCCACCCTGCGGTGTGCCCACCTCCCATCCACTGGACTGTGCTTCCCTGGCCCCAGTTCAGAGCTTTTTGTCTGAATCGTCCAGCTACTTATTAGAAAGTCTCGCTCGGGGTCACATTTCAGTGTGTGTCATGACAGGGCGCTGGAGCTGGCCCCGAGAGCCCAGGCCTTGTCCCCTCGTCCCTTCTCTGCCCTTCCCGGCCTGACCACCAGTGCCCACCTGTTTTGTGAGCGCCTCTGATTCTTCCGCCTCCTCTTTCTCCCATTTCCCCACTTTATCTGCCATCTCTTCCCACGTCCCCAAACTCCCTAAAAAAGGAGAGGAGGAAGGGAGGAGAGAAAAGCTTTGGCTGGTTCTAGACCCTTTCTAGAGTTAGTGTCTCCTTGGGCCTCTGATGAGGTCACTCTTCACGCAGCCAGCTCTGCTGTCACACTTGTCTGCCAACGTGACTGATGTGTCAGGGAACAATCTGAATGTCACGTGAACTTTGCAAGAAACACCAGGTGAATGCAGAAAGCTGCATGCCCTCACGGGCCCCAGGCGCCTCCCAGGCTTCTCAGCTTCCCCCCGCCCCCCGTCACCATCTGGGGCGAGGGTCCCGCTCACCTTACAGCCTTCCCTCCAGCACCTCACGCTCCCTCACAACCTGCAGACCTCAGGCGCCCGATCTATTGTATGGATGGAGCTCAACCACTTAACATCGGGAAACAGTGCTAACGTTTTGGTTGGCGCCTGTCTTTCTTCACGTCTCAAGGTCTGTGGGTGTTGTGCCCAATCCTGCTCTTCCCACACATCCTGTCGTTTTCATCGCATGGTTGTGCACAGCACGGTGACTTTAGGGAATGAACGTGTCACGTGACAGTACAATCATTTACAGATTTCACTTGTACCAAAGGTATGTATTTGGAATCAGGTGACATGACGTGCGTATTTCTCCTAACTCTGGTTATGTTTTTCTTTCGTTTTTCAGCCCATTCTCAGCTATGAGAACATTTTTAGGTTTGCTTTTCAAGAAGTACCAGTGCAGCAGGTGACTGAAGATGTTCCCACCTTACATCATCTCTTAGAGATTGGCAGTGAGGAACCAGACCTTGGGTCTGCACACAAATGCTGGTAATGAACTTCAATTCAGGCTAATATTTTACAGCAACTCCGCCTTTATACTGTTGACTGATAAAATAGACACGAGGCCTTTGTTTTTATCTTTAAAGAGAGCGTCATCTCTCCTGAAGTCCCCACCACCTTTGGGTCGTAGGGTCCCCTGAGAGGGCCAGGTGGCACAGCTGATGCCCTGGCTGTGGCCCCTCCTGTCAGAGCCATGTTCAGCCTCCCCTGCCCGCCATGAGCTCACCTGGAGCAAAGTGACCGGGTCTCAGTGTGAGTGCTGGAGGTGTGGGAGAGACCAGTGGGCCTGGGCGGTGGGCAGAGGCGTCTCCTGGGAGACGGCCCCGTCTCCTGGAGGGACATCCTGTGTGCTCCTGGTGTAGCCTGCAAGGCTGAGGTCCCTGGGGCCAGCTACCCATGGGAAATCACAAAGGAATTTTTTTACGGATGGCCTTTTCTAAGACATCCTGTCACTGAGCACAGAGAAAAACAGGTGTCATTGGAGTGTGGCAGTGCTTGAGCAGCTGGAGGTCAAGGCCCTGGAGGGAGGAGGTGAAGGTTGGTGTGAGCTGGCTCCCCTCGCCCCTCTGTGCGCCCTTCAAATAGGCTGATTCTGTCAGGGAGCTCTGCCAACAGGCCCTTCTGGGCCCCAGCCCCGGGCCCAGTCAGGGCTGCTGCTGGAATCCAAGCCAGCACCTGCCCCAGGACACTCCTGGCAGAGGTCTGGGGACAGTGGCATGAGCTCACGAGGCTGCCAGCAGTGCCTAGATGGCTGGTGTGCCCTCTGGATGTGTTGCTTCCCCAAGGTGTGGTCCAAGCCAGCAGGTGGACAGAGGAGTATTTGGTGGCAGTGTGACCCCGGGACATCCAGGGGCATGGGTGGAGACTGGGCAGAGCTGGACAATGTTGTGAGATGGAAGGTCAGTGTTACTTTGGGGCAAGTGGGCAATGACAAGCACTTAGCTGTCCCCTTCTCTTCCGGGTGGACCTGGCACAGTGGCGGGCACAGTGCACATCCATCGTTTGCTCATGGGGCTAGGCATTCACTCTGCTCCTGGTTTGTGCCACCCGGTGACCAGCACGAGTCTAGGCGCCTGAGACCGCCAGGGAACAAGACCAGTGAAACACCTGGCCACGTAGGCTTCTGCCCCTTGGAGAGGACACTCCGGTGTGGAAATAAGTCAGGGACGTGCTCATGGGGAAGACGGAGCAGGGGAGGAGGACGTGCTGGTGTTTGCAGGGTAGACGTTGTTGGAATAAATGGACAAATAACTGAGGGGACGCTGTTTTCAGAATTCCGAAAGGCCAGGGCCCCACTCCGCTCCTGTTCTGAAGGCTCTCAAGGCTGCTTTTAATTCGTGCGTCCTTTTCCAGTCCTGAATCCAGAAAACTCTGGAGAGCTCTTCAGAGCGCAGACGGCACAGCCACGTCCCGCTGCCTGTGGCGTGAGTCCCGCTGCCAGGAAAACTTCCTCCTTGTCCTTGGAGTAGATGCTGCTCAGGTGAGGTGACATAGGTGGCCACCTATCTGACAGCCGTCTGTAGGAGGCCACCCCTGCCCTCACCTCCAGGACGGCCCCTTCCACCGAAGCCTCTGTCAGAAGGCGGCTCCCACAGGGTGGGCGACGAGGCCAGCGGGCGGGGAAGGGCAAGAGGGGGCCAGAGATGGGGCCGTGGGGCGACCCTGGGGAGTGGGAGAGCGGGGCACGGCAGCTAAGTGTCACCGACGTCAGCTGACAGTGGTCCTGCTGGAAGTTCTAAAAGAAAATGAGGATTGTGGGAGGGCTGGCTGTGGGCAGGCGAGTTGGCAAAGACCCTTTTCCATGTTTTAGTATAGAAATTCCCAAACATGGTACACACAGATGGGGCAGCAGGCGGGCACGGGACGAGGCCCCCTGGGCTGTCCAGGAAGGACGCGAGGGGCTGGAAGGAGCCAGAGAGGTCCTGACCGGGGTCACCTGGCTGTGTCCCGGGGCCAGGAAAACAGCTGGGAGGACGGAGCGAGCGGGAGGCTGCCTGGACTGGAGGCTCGGAGGTGGGGCAGCTAGCTCCAGGCCTGCAGGCGGGAAGGTGCAAGGGCCCTGCGGTCCTAGAGGGCGACCGTGAGCCCCGCGACAGGTGACAGAAGGGTGGCAGTGGCAGGGCCGAGGGCGGGTGGGGGACAGCAAGCTGCCAGAGGGGAAGCAGAAATGACCCTTTCCTCGCCATCCCACTGGCTGACTGGTGTGTGTCCTTAGAACCTTTCTGGAGGCCAGGGTCACGGTTCCGAAGGCTCCAAGCTCTGGGAGCCTGCAGAAGTCGGGGTGTCCAGCCTCCGCCTGCACAGCTGCAGAGCGTTGATGCAGACCAAGGTGAGTGCCAGACGGCCGCGGGAGGGAGGCTGTGCTGGCTGCCTGGGCCTCCACGTCTGAGTCACTTGGTTCATTCAGACGAACGTTTCCACTGTCCAGGGCAGTGGGCTACTGGTACAAGCGTGTCACTGCAAAGACCCACAGGGCAGGGCTGGGGGGGGTGAGCGGGTCTCAGGACCTGGTAGAAGGAGGGAGGTGCTGCGTGGCCTGTTCATCAGCTTTTCTTCATGGTCTGAAGTTCCTGCAACAGCGGTAGTGTCACCTGTCACAGGGGCTCAGGCAGGAAGGGACAGACAAGTGGGTGGGAGAGGACAAGCTTTCGCGGGGACAGGTCTCCTGCCTGCCCCTGGAAGCGGGTCTTCTGAGGAGCACCATAACCAGTCGGCTTCCAAGGGCTCCAGCCTGGAGGGGCCCTTCCCCCACCAGGGGACTCAGAGCATGGTTGGGGTTCGCTCTACATGCCGCCCCCCACTCCCAGAAGGTAGGGGTGGCACGTGGTGGTGAGTCCAGCACGAGGATCTGCTTTGATGGTCGGCGTGGACAGTGCCCTGCAGGTGAGGGCCAGGCACAAGGCCACTGAGGCGGGGGGAGGTGAGGACCTGATCCGGAGCTGGGACAGGTAGGACGGAAGACAGGTGAGTTTGGTGTTGGTTGACAGGTGCTGTGGGGCTGCAGAAGGGCCCTCTCCAGGGGTGCCCAGCACTCGGCGTCCATCTGCTTTAGGAAGACAGCACGGGCAGGGGGCAGAAAGTTGAGGAGGTGCAAGGCACAGGCCGTGTTAGAGCACCAGGACAAATGTCCCAGCGGCTGTCAGGTGGGAGTTTGTGATCAGCCCAGCAGTGAACACTGGGACGAGAACATGAAGGGCAGTGTGTCCTCCACAGAGAGACCAGACACCCAGCATGAGGGCCATGTGACCCCACCTAAGAAACAGGAACCCACCACTGTCCTGAGGGCCACAGGCCAGGGTTGTAGTCTTTTGGGACGCAGAGGCCGGCCACACCCCCAGCGTTTGCTGGGTAGTCACAGAGCTGTGCACCTGTGCCCGTGTCTCACTAACGCCTGAGAGAAACGCCCCACGGCCTCGCCGAGGGCGGCAGGGTGGGGCGGGCTGCCGCACGCATGTCCTGTTGCTGCGCATGCTCCATCCTGACCGTGTGCCATCTCCCACCAGCTCTCAGGGACGCCGGGCGGCAGCCAGGGGAGCCTCATCACATACAGCCTCTTTCTGCAGACGCCCTTCTGCGGGCACGGGCGGTGCGTCACCGTGCCACGGAGGAAGCTCTTCAGCCCACGGAACCTGAAAATGACACTGTTTCATAGTGATGTTTGCTGAGATGGGACGGCCTGCTATCTGAGGAATTCACGTCTCCTGGCTTGCTTGGTGGTGACCAGACCTGTTTTTTTCAGGGTTCCAAGCCCTGCGTAGAGACCCGTCCTGTGCCTGCTGGGCCAGTTTTGGGGGAGGGTCCTTCGGCAGAGCCAGCCCTCACCATGAAGAGGCGCCAGGATTCCCAAGAACTCCCCCAGCCTGCCCAGTGCAGGTGCTGCCAGCCCTGGGGGCGCCCTCTGAAGGACCCAGGCCTGGCTGCCTGCACCGCACTGCCCAGGGCACCGGGTCCCCACCCAGCGGCTTGTCTTGCACCCTGAGGGCGGGCTGTCCCTGGCCATCAGCCTTGGAGATCCCTTCCCAACAGCAGAGCCAGCAGTCAGTCGGCACTGACTTTTGTAACATTTTAGTTAATAAAACAGCTTGGATCCGCCTGTGTTCTTGCTGCTTCATCTGCTCTTTGGGGGCTGGTGCCAGAAACCACTGTGCTGCCAAGGCCAAACTGGAGGCCAGATCACAGCCAGTGACTGGCACAGGGAGGATGCTGGCTGTCCCTCGGCCACCCCACCTGGGTGGCTCCACCAGGCTGAACGTGGTTTGGGGGCCTGTGTTAAGGGGAAACTCAGATGTTTTGGCGCTGCCCGTTTGGGAAATATTTTCTGCCATGCTGCCTCTGTTACCACCTTGGGGTCTTCTGGGGCCCCGGCAGCAGAGGCCTGCTGGGACACGCTATCGTTTCCCAGCCTTTGGTTAGATTTAACAACCCAAAACACCATTCTGCGTCCTGCCTTTGAACCCCCACAGGTTCAAAGGCAGATGCTGGCACTTTACCTGCCTGCTCTCCAGCGCCCCCGCCCAGCTCCGCCCACTCTCACCCACCCACCCAGCCCAAGCCAGAGCCATAATGCCTTCCCCAACCCATCCAACCAGGCATCAGTCTAGTCCTGTCCTGAAATCCAGGGGCTGTCTGCTTGGGAGTTTTGTGACCTGGGAGAGACATGGTGTGAGTGCTGACCGGTCACCCGATTCAGATGTACAAGTCGTAAGAAGCGGTCACTCCACCCTGACCAAAACAAGCCAAATCAGCCTCAAAATCATGGCTTACAGTGTCGGAGAGCTCAGGGTTCAAAGAAACCTGAGCGAGTTAAGCAATGGCAGAGGCCCTGGCGGCTGCTCTGATCCCCACGCGGGGTGGGAGGGACCAGGCCCAGCGTGGCCGTCAGTGAAGACTTTCAGCAGCCTCGCTGGGCTGGCGGACATGAGGGTCTCATCTTTGCCGAGTGCTCAAGCAGAAGACCAACAGAGAGGGTGATGAAGGGCCGGAGGAACCCCGGGTGCCCGGGCCCCGAGGTAGACGGCATGGGGCACATGCTCGTCCAAGTCCTGGGAACAGACCAAATCTGCTTTGGCTCCTGAGGGGCCTCCCCTCACAGGCGCCCAGGCCTGCCTGCCCGCCCGCCCTGGCATATGCAGCCCTGGTCCCTGTCGTGTCTGCTTCTCTTTGGGAGCTGGGGAGAAGAGGGGCGCAGGAGGGTTGCAGGAGACACATTTAGGAGCTCTTCCGCAAAAGAATACAAAAGCACAAGCACAAAAGACATAAAAAAGCTGCAATAGACCAAGAAAACAAGGATTACACGAAGGCAATACCAATATATTTCAAACTCCAAGAAAATAATACTTTAATTCCTGGTGCATCTTGATACATTTTCCTGCATTTGACAGTGAATTTTTTAATCACCTCATGTGACAGTATTCATAGTCTCACTACGCAAAAAGGTGATTCGAAGTACGTTTACCACTGCCAGCTCCAGAAGTTGCTGTGAGCTTAGCGACTCATCACCGGCCAGGCTGTGTGGTCACTGGCCCTGCTGTCAGGGCTGGGAAGCCCCCAAACCTGGCTCCCCCTCCCCTCTCCCCATGCCCCCCAATGCCCAGCGTGGTGCCCGAACTGCCCTTTGTGCCAGGAGCCGGGACACACCCCAAAGCCCTTCCTGGGAGTCCCAGGCTGCACAAAGCTCCACCGGCCAGGCCAGGGGCAGGAGGGGTGGTGGGTGGACAGCGGCCTTCCTTTGCAGTTTACAGAAAGCCGTGACCACGTGCACACAGGGGCCTAGAAGGCCTGAGTCCCGCACCTACTGTGCAGGCCCATCGTCAGCAGCTGGCCACCTGCCTGTTCCTCCCCGGAGGACCGTCAGCCAGCCTGGGACGTGCAGGTCATCAGCACCCCAGGGGGCCCAAACTGAGAGTGGGCAGCTGAGAAAGAACCACAAGAGCCAAGGGGTGGGGGGTTGCTGGCACAGAGGGCGGTGTCTGGGGTCAGCCATGTCACGGTGGGAGGCCCAAAGCCGAGGCCTGACCCACAGGCCTGCCCACTCCTCTGAATATTTCATGCTTTGAAGACTGTCAAGATAGACACTGCAGCTACTCTGGAAATGAAAAAATATTTTAAAAACATAGAAATGCTATAAAAGACACAAAAACTGCTTTAGGTTTATTGCTTCCAAGACACACAGTTTAAACTAAGAAGGAAATACTGTCCAAATCTGAAGGGAGCAACCCTGGGTGCGCCACACTCCGCCCTGCCTCGCACCTGCACTTCCCAGGACCCTGCTGTCTCACCCCTCGCTCCCCTCAGGCACAGACCTGGGGGATGGGAGCGTTGCGCTGCCCATTTAACGCCTCAAATGAAATTCCTCTCCCATCTCCAGGAGGCACCTGAAATGCACCAGAAAACAGATGCACTCAAGCAGCCAGGCAGACAATCAGCATGCCTCCATTTTGTTGAATAATCTTTTAATAAAGTGAGGTGTACATCATTGATATTAAAGAATGGCCATACGCACAAAAGAAAACAAACCTTTTTGGCTAAGGGTTCGGGAAGGAAGAAAGAGCATGAGAAACAGGAAGCACGTGGGGGGGGGGAGCGCAGTCTTACGTGTGAACGTAAACTGGAGGAAAAGGTCTAGAAGGCGTGGGCCATCTGGGTCCCGCAGGCACCACAAGCTCCTGTAAGTGGCACCACCCCACCAACCCCACTGTCAAGTGCCCTCAAGATCAAGGGGCAATAAATGACCTGTGCCCAGATTTAATTCTAGATTTAAATTTAGTCTTAAAACTGGGTCCCAGCACCAGTTTCCTAGAGCAGGTGTGGGCACGCTCCACTCGCACAGCACGCGGACAAGCATGCCTGGCACATGGCAGGCAGCCAGGCTCCTTAGAAGCACTCTACAACGAGTGCCCAGTGGCGTGCAGGCACACGGGGCCCACCCCGAAGAGTCAGTTCCTCAGGAAGCACCCCAGACACCTGGGTTTCCCAACATCAACTAGGGCCATGATCTCCACAATGACATTTACATATAAATAGGCATAAATTAAACCTCCCAAACCTACACTGCGTTCCCAGGACAGGCTGGCGCTGACTGGAGCAGTGGACAGCCGTGACCCGTGAACACTGCTGCCTCGGGTAGGGCAAGGCTCATGAATAAGAACTGTCCATACTGAAACCTTAAAAATGAAACCCACTGCAAGTGTTCAGGTTATAAATGTCTCTAATTAGCAGCAGAGGATGTTTATAGAAAAAATATACTTTTAAGAAAATAGCTGAAAAAGATCTAGAGATAAAAGTATAAAAAGTTTAAAAAATATATCTTAAGCCAAATATTGCCCAAAACATGTAAAACTTAATTTAAAAAATTCACCTATCTAAAGTTAAACGAGGCTGGATGCAGCTGGCGGCAGGTCAGGCTGGCCCGGGGTGACCAGCCCGCAGGAAACAGCCCAGCCCCTAGGAGTGGGAGAAGGGGAGAGGGCAGCGGGCAGGCTGGATGCTGTCCCGGCCGAGTTGGTAATCACAGACACAACAGAGGCCGACCCTGGTCAGACGGCGCTCTGGGGGATCCGTGGCCTGACAGTCAATCCGTGGCGTGTCCCGCTGGGTGGTGCCGGCTCAGGTCTCCACCAAGATCTCCACCACGTGGTCCAACTCACCCAGGTCTGACTTGCAGCCCGAGCCGGGGGGCGGGGCCGCCGCAGAGGACAAGGCCTCGAGCCCGTCGCCGTGGCCCGACTTGCCGCCCACCATTCCGGTCAACACAGCATCCAGGTCATAGTAGGGGCTGTCCACATCCCCAAACAGCCCTTCCATAGAGCTGGGGGTTTTACTCTCCAGTGTTTCAAATATCTGATCCAGAGACTTCTGCAAGCTCCCCCTGTTCTCCCCAGGGCGATCCACGTCCCAAACACAGCCCTGTGTGCTCCTTGGGGCCGGTGCGCTCGGCGTCCCACACAGATGGGACACCAGGTCTGGTGCATGGCTGTCGGCCGAGTCAGGGGCAGGGCGCTCCCCCTCCTGCTCCCAGGCCGCGCGACACAGGATCTCTGTGGACACCAGGCGGTCCCGCGGCACCTGTCCTGCAGTCTGGGGCGCCATCACCCGCCAAGTCCCATCCTGGGTCATCTCTTCTTGAATCTGCCGCACTGTGTTGGCGATGAGGACCGAGCGGCAGAGGTTGGGCTCGACCAGCATGTGGCACAGCTGCAGTTTGACCAGAGACATGTCCAGGAGCGACTGCCGCTGCAAGCTGGCCAGGGCACCCTCTGCGTCCTCGTCGCCGTCGGCACACTTCCTCTTTAGCCCGCGGGCAAACATCGTCCTAGGGAAAACCCAGGAAGACGATGTTTAGCACATTTCAGAGCCCCTGGCAGACCCTGCCCAGGTCCAGTCTCCATCCATCAGAGCTGATCTTGGCACACACAGGGCCCTGGGGGAGATGGACATGGCCGGGTGTCTACTTCATGCACAGCCACCTCTACGTGGCACAACTGTCCCCATCAGATGAGACAAAAGACTAAAAACAGGAGGAGTGCCTTTTTAATGGCAGCACCACGCCCCAGGTAGGAGGCACCGCCTTCCTCTGAGCAGTCGCCTGCCTGCGGAGTCACTGCCACAGGCTGTCCTGGTGCTTTCAGACAGAAGCCCCTCCTGTATTGCTGTCAGTCCTGGGAGGAGCTGCACTGAAGCCGGCAGGGGAGATGCCAGCATGTCCCCTCGAGGTCCCGGGTGCCGGTGCCCAATGCCCAGGACAGTGTTCACGACCGCCAAGGTGAGCATGGCACAGTTCGCACAGCCAGGGCCGCGCGTGGGCCACCTCTCCGCCCTCATGTCAGCTCCTTCCAGCCTCAAAGGCCACGCAGAAGGCCACAGGGTGGGGTCCTCCCTAGGGCCCTCGGAAGTCCGAGGGCGCATTCTTCTGAACTGGCCTGAAGCTGAGGCGTCTGGGGACTAGAGGAAGACAGAAGAGGCCCGCCTCACCGACCCTGCCTCGCCGCACCTCCTGAGGGGCCCCCTTTCTACAAGCTGAGCATTAAGTTTCTCTTCTCAAGGTTATAAAATAGCTAAACATTTTTATTCAGATATTCATGTTACTCAGAGGATTAGTCTTTTTACTATGCAAATTTTTGGTTTCCTTTTTTAAAAATACCAACCCTATGGGTCCCTATGATGGCTGGCCGTGTGCCCAGGGGCTCCCCAAGAATGGGATGGAAGCGGGGTGGCCACCAAAATGGGAGGGTGCTGCAGCTCGGGGCAAGTAGGCCTGGCTACTGTCCCCCAACACAAGCCCCCTCTCAAAGCTCATGCGTGCCAACTCCACCCTTAAATAGAAAGGTGTCCCCCGCCCCTCTGAATTTCCTGTCAGTGACACAGATCTCGGCTCCCAATGTAGTCAACATTGGAAAAAGTGAAGTGACTCCCGGGCATTTAACCTCAAGATGTGTATACCAAAGTCACGCAAAAACAAGTGTAAGAATGTTCAGAGCAGCTGCACTCACAGCCCCAAAGGGAAATGAGCCCTCCTGGGCGAGGTGAATCTCCTGCACCCCCAGCAGGGGGTGGCCAATGACACTGGGAGCCTGCATGGACCTCAAGGGAATTAGGTGGCATCACTGTGACATTCTGAACCTGACATGAAGATGGGTGAGTGTGGCCAAGCAGGTCACTCTTTAAGGGACTGTGGTGGTGTGTCCTTGGCTACGGGTGTGTTAAATGCCCAGCACTGCGTGCGTGCGTACACACATGCACACACGCACGCGCGCGCCAGCTCTGTGGCCACCAGGGGGCGGGTGAACCCCCAGGACATTCCTTTGCAACATCCTGTAGAGCTACAGTTATTTAAAACACAAGCGACCACAGCTTCTTCCCCCAAAAGGCTAATTTCCCCAGAGCAGCAAACAGGTCTTCCTCGCCAGCACAGGGCAGCCCAACCCACCCCCGTTCTTGGCCAGCACCGTGCACACTCCTGCCTGCGGACTACTTTACATGGATGCATGGAAGAGTTTCCCACCAAAACACATCACCCTCCCTCATCATTTGTTTAAAAGCCACTGGCTTAAAATTGCTAAGTATATCGAGAATTAATATAAGATTATGTCAAACTATAAAAAGGCCCCGTATTGAGGAAAAAGATTAAGTTTCAAGGGTTCCTCTGCAACAAGTCACTTCACCTCTCTGGCTTTTAGTAGTCTTTTCAACCAAATTTAAAATTCCAAATCTGCTTGATGACGGATTTAATTTAGGGTGCAGACTAAATTCACTGCCATAAAGTAATTAGGCCCTCATTCCCCAACAGAAGTGAGGGTCTCCAGGAGGTCAGGTCACAGGGGCTGGGGGGGTGGCCAGAGGCCTTGCCTACAATCGAACAGCAAAGGAGCTACACACGGACACCCAGCACCCACTCAGGGTCCTTGCAAAGCCTGCTGCAGTCTGACTCTGGCCTGAGGGACAGCCCTGGAAGCCAACAACCTCCCTGCAAGTCGGGCTTGATCAGTAACTGGCGGCTTCCCTGGCTGTCTCCACTTCCAGCTTAGGACGGCAGAAAAAGCCAAATGCACCTCCAGGCAGTCCCTCGGCCCCGAGTCCCACCAGGCGCCAAGCCCCCTTTCCCGCTCTTCTGCCTGGGCCTGGTGGCGGCCTCCCCTCCAGTGTTACCACAGCTCGCTGGCTAACAGGGAGGTGTCAGAAAGTACAAGACAACTGGGGCCCTAACCAGGAGGGGAATCAGCACACTCCCGCCGGCCTTTTCTCTGAGCATTTCTGGTCTGCAGAGCTGGGAGCTGTCCATCACATTTTCCGTGTCACGTAAAAGTTCACCACCACCTGCGACAGCTGTGCGTTTATCCCGGCCTAAAGCGTGCCTCGGTGACCCTCATCCATGGCACCGACGCCGCTCGCCAGCTCCGGGCTCGTGACGTGGGTTCTGACTCGGCTGCGTGGACAGCCCAGCACAAGATCCCTCAGGGCACCTCCTAGGACACAGGGAGGGGCTGCTCCACACCCGCCAGCAGGCTCTGTGCTGATTGTCACATGTGCTGCTGAGCTCCTGCCCGCTCCCCCGTTGGTCCAATCGCCTGTCCCCACCTGATAGAATGATGGTTGACAGTGGAACACAGCATCGCAACAGCGTGATCAATCGCCAAACATGCTGAATAAAAAGGGGGAAAAATGCAGGATTCTACTTCTGTGAGCTTCTAGAACAGGCGCAGCTGAGCCCTGAGGACAGCGTGCTGCCCACAGACAGCCGCCGCCGGTGTGAGCAGCACGGCTCCGAGCGCGCGCACGCGCTGTCACGACCGAGGGGCCTGCACACAGCATCTGTCCTGCTCACTATCCCAACGTACATGGCAATGATGCACAAAAGGGACAAACCAGTTGATGGGAGAGGCAACCATCCACTGAAAACAACCACTCCAGGTACTGCCCACTGCACGTGCAGGGGGACAAAGAGGCGTTCAGTCATCCTGAATCACTCCTTCCACGTCCCTAATGCCAGCCACTCCCGGTGCTGCTCCACTCAATAAGAAAGTGGGCAGGCTGCCCCTACAGAAGAGAGCTCAAGGGCAGGCCATGTGCGGTCACCCAGAGCCTGCACCTGGGCGAAGGGGTCAGGCTGAGCCCAGGAGGTCCTCAGACATGTGTGTTTGGGGCAGTCAGCACGGAGTACGGCTCTAAAGCAACCCTGAGAGGTGGGGGGACAAAGGTGGGGACACAGACCCCCGAGGTGGGCTTGGTGCAGCACAGCTCAGCAAAACCCAAGTGACTATGGCCTGAGGGGACTAAACCCTTCTAACACGGGAGACCCGAGGAGCCGCTCTGAGGCTGTCCTAACTGCACAGCCTGACTCGCATTAATTCCCAACAAAAAACAGGTATTACCCACCTCCACTGTCTCCACAATCGGCCGGAAGGTCTTGCTGCGTATCTAAATGCCAAATTCCACCAAACCCTCAGGGTTACCTTACCGGTATTCAACTCGAAACCCTCCAACGTCAACATGCAGCACTGCCCCTAGGCCTCGTCCAGACCAAGGGCTGACCAGAGAAAACAGGAGGGACAGAGGGACTGAACAGTTCCACATGGCAGGTGGAGCCACGAGGGTGCCATGCCTGCCCACCCAGAGACACCAAGGCAGAGGGGACTCAGGCGGCCAGGTCACCTCACACCATGTGCCCAGTGGGAAGTGCAGATCCCCCGATTCCGAGCAGCAGGGCTGGGACAGGCTTGAGCCGTCACCATGACCCTCACCGCTGCCAGGTACTCATGTGAGCCTCAGCAAATCAACACCAACATCAGATCTGCTGTGAAACACATCATTCAAGGGAGACAGAGACGGACCCGCTGGCGAGGTCTCCAGCACGGTGCCCAGGTGGGATGCGGGGCCCCGTGCCCCACTGCTGTCTGTCTGACATTTCTCTTAAGCTGTTACTGCAAAGTGAATTTCAGGCACTTTTGTTACCTGGAATGAAATACACAAACTTTCTTTGCCTGTGAATATTCCAATAGCAGGTGAGGGAGACTTGCCTGCCCTCTTTCCAAGATAAAACCTGCAACAGGTTTTTTATTGTGAGTTTCAACTTTAATTATAAAACATGGCAAACTTGAAAATAGAGCAGTTATATGTAGAACACTTATAAGACATTAAACTTCCTTTCTTTCTTGGCTCCTTTGAAAAGAACCGTGACCTCGGGCCTGCAGCACACATGCCACCAGCAGAGGAAACGCAGCAGAAAACCCCCTACTTGGACCAGAACGTCTCCCAGCAAACTTACCTGGGGGACTCTTTTCCTGGTAATCCAACAAGCTTTTGAAAACGCAGAGCTGAGCTTGTGAGCTGTGGAAGCGGGCTCCTAGTCAAAGCAGCTGTCTCCCACAGGGGCTGTGCTGGGGCGTGCAGGCCCCAGGAGCCCACCTCTTCCCACCCCTCCCCCCAGTCTGTGCTGGCCTGGGCAGCTTAGGCAGGACTACACAGGAGGCAGGCAGAGTGCCAGCTTTAGCCCACCTGGAGGCCAGAGGCTGGCTTCAGTGGCAGGATACTCCCTGATCAGCTGAGAGGAGGGTCTACTGCAGGAGGGCAGAGGGAAACCACTGCAAAAGATCCTTAACATTCCTTTTCAAAGCAATTAAAACAGGAAACAAAGGAAAGGCACTCACACTGAACACTCCCAGGCAGGCCGCCCTGTGGAAGGTGCCCCAGGCTGGGCCACTTTGGAAGGCGTTAGATTACCAGCAAAACCGAGCTTTGCTAAAAGAACCTACGATGAAATCGCAGCCTTTGATTGCTAACATCCTCTCCCCCGCCCCCCCATTCTGTACGAGTCCCGACTGGGAAGGAAACCTAGACGCGGCCACGACGGGTCACGACCGGCGGGAGGAGGAGGGGCGGCCACGGGGCAGTCGGCCCGGGAGAGGCTCCGCCACGGTCCCCACGGGTCTTCAGCAGCGTCTTTGTGGGGACCTTAGGAGGAGCCTGCACTGACCTTTTCCAAGTCACGGGGAAGAGGACAACGTGGGGGCTTCCCGACGGAGGCCGTCGATTCACGAGCAGCCCAATAAACCCATACCCAGTGCTCGTCCTATTAAAGAGCCCCCAACGCGACAAAAGCCACCGGAGCTCTACTTTCCGGTTGAAGCAGTGCAGGCCGGCGAAAGTTTAGGCCGTTGGCAGCACGAGGTGAATCCCAGGTGGCTGACGGCTCGGGGGGCACCGATCGACCGGGTCGCGCCCCCTCCTCCGAGCGCCCGCCGCACACCCTCGAGTCCCCCCCCCAGCCCCCGGGCCGCACCCTCGCCCCCGCGGCTGGGCCCCTCCCCGGTCTCCCCTAGCCCCCAGGCTGCCCCCTGCCCCCCACCCCCCCAGACACCGAGGGCCGCCCGCACGTGCCAGCGCTCCCTCCAGAAGCCGCCGGGTCGGAGGAACCGGGCGCCGGGGCCGGACGCTCACCTGGCTTCCAGTCGTCTGCGCCGCCGCCCGCCGCTGTGGGAGGGCGGGGCCGGGGCGGGGCTGCTCAGCGCCCACAAAGAGTCGCCGAGGCACCGCCTTCCCCGCCCGCTGATTGGCTGAAAGCGGGGACGGGGCCGCCGATTCAAATTCAAACCGGGGGCGGGGCCTGGCGCTCGAGTTCCCGCGCGGCCGCGTTGGCCGTTGGGCTTGCTCCCTCTGCCGCCCCGCCCCCGCCGACTCCCAGGTCTCCGCGCGCGGCCCTAGTGCGCCTGCGCTCTGCCACCCGGGGGCAGGGCGGGGCGGGAGAGGACCGGAAGGGGGAGGAGACTGGGGGGGGGGGACGATCAGGGAAGAGCCTTAGGGAGTGCAGGGCGGGGCGTTGGGAGGGGGAGGGGAGAAGGCGGGGAGAGAGCGAAGGAAGCGGCGGGCCGGGCGGCAGCTCCCTGGACAGTTCGGGTCGCAGCAGGGGCTTCCAGGTTTACATGTAAGGAATAAAACCATAAAAGTAGAAAACAGAGGAGGTTTTTTTTTTTTACATTATTTCTTAGAGGAAGAAGTCTTAAACAGGATACAAAATCCAGAATCCGTTCATCCAAGTAACATGTCTTGAGCGCAGGCCAGGGCTGCCGCGTTAACCCAGGAAAAGCCGCATGCGCCTGCGTCCCGCGCTGGGCCCCGACCGCGGTGGGAAGTGCTGTCGGAAGCCGAGGGCGGGGCCCCGCGTGCCGGGCCTCTCAGGGGGCTTCCGGGGAGACGCCCAGAGGGAGGGAGCGGAAGAATCTCAGCCGAGGGACCGGCGGGAGCAGGCGGGAGGAGAGGCAGGAGGGGCGCTGGGTGCAGAGAGGGAGCCTGTCACTCAGAATGTTTAAGGGGTGCGGTGGGAGGACTTGGGCTTTCCTCGCAGTGAGACGGAGTCCACCGCAGGATTGCTTAGAAGAGGGGCGGGCCCTGAGTTGGGCTAGAAAAGAATCACTATAGAGAATAGATTGGGGGAGGTGGAAGTAGAAAGTGGACTTTCTAGGTCACGGCAGTCCTGGGGTGCAGATCCATGGCGGGGATAAATGTGACGACCTAAAAATGTAAAAGGTATGCATGTCCAACAGTGACAAGACTATGGGAAAATTTTGTTCCCAACCATATGCCACTGTTAAACTAGCGAAAAATAACTCTCCAACTAATCCACAAAAGACACGATTTATTCGGGAAGAGAAAAAAGCAAGACCACCACCGCAATGGGGAAAGCACCCCTCGGACACGGGGCTCCTACCGGCAGCCCACGTGGAGGCAGAAAGACCCCGGTTTCAAGACGGCTAATCCCTTTATTAGGATCCCACCCCCAACATTACCATAAGGATGATTGGCGGGTGGGGGTCGGGATTATAGCGTTAACAAGGGGCCCAGCTCTATCCATAGTCCTCCCAGTTCTATGGTTAAGCATCTTAAGATGCCAGTTCACTGTAGCACCACACAAAAGACTAAATTCCTTAATACGTGGATAGTCTGCAACTAGAAACAAGATGAACAAACCAGCAGAAAGTGGGCAAAGGATGTTGACACACGGTTCAGAGCAAAGGAAGAAAATGCTCCTAAACTGGTGGAAAGGCACTCAGCCTCAGAGCAAGAGCCATGCAGGGGACGCTACGTGGGTTTCCACTGTCAGACTGGCACAGATCAAAATTGCTCTCTAGAGTAAGGTGATATCTTCCAGAGGCTCCATTCTTTCTCATTCAAAATGTCCAGCATACAATTAAAAAAATTAACAGGACACAAGAACAAAAACATGGCAAAAAAGGAAGAAAAATCCCAGATAATAGAAATACACTTAGGGGTGGCCTCGATAATGGAGTTACCGTTTGTGTGTGTATGTGTGTGTGTGTGTGTGTGTGTGTGTGTGTGTGTGTGTGTGTGTTTTAAGGCTTCACTTAATTTTTTTGAAATTTTGTTGGGGAACAGCCATGGTGGTTGGTTACACATTGCTTTCGTGCTACAATGGCATAGTTGACTTTTTTTTTTTTAATTGGGGAATTGGGGAAGAGGAGCGGCCAAATTGTTGTCCTCCAGTCTTAGTTGTGGAGGGCGCAGCTAGCTCAGCTCCAAGTCCAGTCACCATCCAGCAGCTCAGCTCAAGGTGCTGTGTTCAGTGTTAGTTGTGGCTGTGCATAGCCCACCATCCCATGCAGGAGTCGAACCTGAAACCTTGTTGTTAGGAGCACCTGCTCTCACCAGCTGAGCCATCCTGCCACCTGTTGGCAGCTCAGCTTGGGCACAGCTCACTGGCCCATGTGGGAATCGAACCGGCGACCCCGTTGCTCAGAGCTCCCTCTCTTAACCAACTGAGCCACTTGGCTGGGCCAAGTTGACTCTTTTTTAAGGAGAGCACAGCTCACAATGACCCATGTGGGGACTGAACTGACAACCTTGGTGTTATCAGCACGATGCTCTAACCAACTGAGCTAACTGGTTACTCCCCCCACCCCTTTTCTTTTAGGAACTGTTGTATTCAAGAAAATTAACAAGGAGAACTGGAATCTATTAAAAAGACTCAAATGGGAGAAATAACATCAACCTTACACAGAGCCTTCCAGGTAGTGAAGAAGGACGTCTCCACAGCTTATCAGGAGCTGGCTTAACCTCAGCGCTAAAACTTGAGAAAGTAAAAAGAAAGAAAAACTACAGGCTAGTCTCTCTCACAACCATACTTCAAAATTCCAAACAAAATTGTAGCAAATCAAATACAGCAATAAATAAAATAAGAGAACACATCACTACCAATTAGGTTTATTCCAGGAACAGGAGTTTGCTTTAACATTTCAACAAACTAGTGTAATACATCACATTAATAAAATGAAGGAGAATAAAAAAATAAACATCTCGGGTGGAGAAAAATCATCTGATAAAATTCAACACAAATTCATGATAAAATATTTAGTAACCTGAACGTAAGGTGCCAGGTTAGCAGCAGTCCACAGGACCATCCTTGGTCCTGACACTCACTGCACAATTGGGTGTCACCAAGGCCACCCTCAGCTTCAGTAATTCACTAGGACTCAAAAAGCTTGCTGAAAACTGATCCGCTCACAGTTATGGTTATTAGCATGAAAGCGTACAGATTAAAGTCAGCCAGAAGAGGTGCATGGGGCAGAATCCAGGGGGGTCCACGCCGGAGCCCCAGGCCCCTAGCAAACAGACACCACAGGGCAAGGACCAGACCTATCCTTGGGTGTGGATAACTTCTTACTGCGCAAGGGACCTCCCTGCAGCTGAATAAAGTGTATTTACAGAAAACCTGTAGGAATTAGTGTAATGTGTGGACTAAAAAGGGGTCACATACTAAACCTGACAAGCTCAGGGGGGCCACATGGCAGGCCTGACAAGCTCAGTGATGAGTGATCACACAGGATGGTCCAAACATAAAAATTCCTAACTAAAGGCAGGTCATGGCAGGTAGTCAAGTCCTAGGCCTGTAGCTTCCTTGACAAAGGTCACTCTTCACCTGAAGTGAGCCTGTCTGTTGTCTTTTTGCATCTACGATAACATACCCTTGGAATGTCAGAGTGACCTCCTTCCCCAGACCCCTCAGGGCACAGCCTCCCACCAGAGCCCAGGCCACAGAACCCCTCACTGTTATCTTGTTGCTCCCACACCATCTCCGTGTGCTCAAGTGTTAATTATTATCTGTCCTGTACCCACCCACGTAAAGGAAGTGTGTGTCTCTCCATTTCACTTTTTATCCAACCCCAGAGATTCCCCTGCTTTGCTTTTTCCCGCCCCCTTCACCTGCCACCCATGGATTCCATGTAACCCCCTTATGTCTCCTCCTTTGACTCTAATGTATAAAATAAGCTGCAAAACTGCCGTGCTCCGGACCATTTTCTCAATGCATTGAGATCCTGCTTCCAAGAAATCATCATCAGGTTGGCTCAAAAAAACTCATAAAAGTTATCCACAGGTTAGGGTGTTTCTTGCGTCAACAAATGTCTAAGGAAACAGTGCATATGTGGAAGTTTCATCCTGTGGTCGGGAAGGACAGAAAGGTGTGTCTCCCCCCACTGCTGCCCAACCTTATGCTGGATGGCCTAGAGGCCAGAAAAGAAGTAACACGTATAGGATTTGAAAAGAACTAAAGTCATTATTCCTAGGAGAGGAGGTTTTGAATGTAGAAATTCAAAGAATTTTGTTGCAGCCAGCTCGATGTCATAACAAAATACCATGGAGGGTGATTTAGCCACAGAAATGTACTTCTCACCATTTTGGAGGTCAGGAGTCCAAGATAAGGTTCCAACAAAGTTGGGCTTCCGGTGACAGCGCTCGTCCTGGCTTGCAGACAGCAGTTTGGAGAGAGACAGATAGCTGTTCCTCTTCGTATAAAGCCACTAATCCTACCAGATTAGCACCCCACCCTATGACCTCATTTAACCCCAGTTACCTCCTAAAAGCCCTGTTCTTGAAGACAGTCACATGTGAATTTGATCTTAATTAATAAAGATCAAATTAATAAAGAATTAAGTACGACCGTCAGATGAACCGTCAATGCAGGAAAATCAATTACATTTCTATATACAAGTAACAAACCATTTTTATATTAAAAAAATTTTTTTAACGATACCATTTGCAAAGCATCAAAAACATCAGCGCCCAGGGCCAGCTGAGTGGCGCGTTGGTTAGGAGTTGGCTTGAGACGCTGGCTCTGAGAGGCGGGGCCCCAGTTCGGGTCCCACGTAGGGGCCAGTGACACTGCCCTCTACAGCTGGGATGGTGAACAGCAGCTCGACCTGGAGCTGGGCTGCCCTGGGTCGCCAGTGGAGGCGAGGGGTGCGGCCCCTGTTGTAGTGGGCTGCCATGGGCTGCTGTGTGTGGCCAGCGGCCAGCGTGAGCGGCCAGCAGCCGCCGTGGGCGGCCGTCCGGGGGCCGGCGGCCGATCTGCCTCATCTGGGAGGAGCGCAACGATGGTGCCAGCATGGGCCAGTGAAGCGGCGTCCTCCACGGCTGGACTGAGGAACGGAGGGACAGCAGCTTGCCTGTTCCCCTCCCCCAATTCCCCAATGGAATCTTAAAAAAAAAAAAAAATCAGCTCCCAGGGATAAATCTAACAACAAAATGTAAGGCCTGAATGTGGAAAAGTGCAAATCACAGCTGAGAGAAATTAACGACTCTAAATGAGAGACGAATATACCAGGGCCGCAGATCAGAGGACTCACCTTGTCAAGGTGTCAGCTCTCACCAAACTTACCTTTAGAGTCACTGCAATCTATTGAGATCCCAGCTTGTTTTAGTTCTAAAACTGATATGGAAATACACAGAGACAAGACAGCCTGGAGGGAGGTCAGCAAAGCTGTGAGCTGGGACGAGCTTTGGAGGACCGTGTGGCGAGGCCACACAGCCTGGGACTCCACCATCGTGCTCCTTGGGGATGTGCGAACACATGGTCACAGAAAGGCTCCACAGGAAGGCTTCTAGGAGGGCCGTCCATTGTAGCCCCAAACTGGAAATAACCCCAATGCCCCCAACAGGACAACGGAGTGCCTCTGCAGGGCTTTGGGGCTGCAGACGGGATGGAGGGGGCCTGATGTGCCTATGTTTTAAACAGCTTCTCGGAGATATAATCACATGCCACACAGCTCGCCCTTTAAGGTGTACAGTCAGTGTTTTCAGTGCACTCCCGTGCATGCAGCCACCACCACAGCCATTCAGAACCTTCCATCGCCGCAGAAGGAACCTTGTACCCTGCTGTCCCATTGTCCCCTCCCAAGCGCGGGCAACTGCTAACCCCCTTTCCCGCGCCATGGACTTCCCCGTTCTGGACATCTCCTGTACTTGGCTCTGTGGCTGTGTGGCTCTGGGGTCTGGGCTCTCTCACGCAGCACAGTGTTTTCGGGGCTCCCCCATATTGTGGGGTGCCGGTGCTGAGTTGCCTTCCCTTGAGTGATGCTCCACATCTTGTTATGCACGTGTGGGCGGGAATGGGGGAGACCAGCACGTGTGGGCGGGAATGGGGGAGACCAGCACGTCTGGGCGGGAAGGGTGGGGGTCAATTTCCCCTTTAGGGTGCTGTGGACAGTGCTGTGTGAACATGGGGTGCACTGCGCTTCCCCTTCTCTTGGGGAGGCCCTAGGAGTGGCACTGCTCGGTCATGGGGTAACGCCACATTTGATCTGGGACCAGACTGTTTCACAGTAGCTGCCCCACCCACCATGACTACGGTGTCTGAATTCATGGCTCTGGCCATTCCAGTGGGTGTGGAGTCCGAGTCCTGAGGGAGGCACCAGGGCACCTGTGCGATGGGCGGCAGATGGCAGGTGTGCACTAGATGCCTCCTAGGAGGGTGTCCCCGCTGCACGCTCAGCCATTGCCACGCTGCCCGGCAGGGCCTCTGTGCCCCTCCAGGACCTGGGCCACGAGCCTGGCCATGCATGGCTGCCCCTGCCCCACTGGTCCCTCCCACCCAGGCGTGGACTCCAGGGTCTCCTCCCAGCGCTCCCCACCTGACCCCAGCCCTGAGGCCCACCCTGCCCCGCAGGTTCTCCCAGTTGGCGCTGAGGCCAGGCACTAGCTGATGTCACTGTCACTGACGGCATGGCTGTCTCTGCCAGCGGGCCACTCAGGGTTCCTGTTCTTCTCAGACGCGGCTTGGAGCCCGGGGGCCTCGTAGGGCCGGTCACCTCCGGGTGGGCCGGCTCCGCTCGCCCGTTTTTTGCATGCGGCGGGCCCTGTGCTTGGTGGGCTGACACCCGTCACCTCCGGCACAGTCGCTCCGGCGGATCTGCTGCCCCCTGGCGGCCGTGCCCTAGTGTCAGGGGCTCGTTGGGCCGCACGACGCCCCCTAGGAGCCGCCGCTGGAACACACGGCCTTCGTGTGAGTGAACTTGGGGTAAAGACCACCTACTAAGCTAAACGGAAGGTCTGACTGACTCCTGAGCGTCCACTGTGTGCCTGGCATCACTTAAGCAGGACAAGCGTGATTTCAATTAATGCCCCAACAGCACTGTGAGCAGGGACGGCGGCCATTCCCAATTACAGGTGAAGAAACTGAGGCACAGAAGGTGTGAGCCAGCTTGTCCACAGGGAGCTGTCCTCGGAAGTCCTGGGAGTTTTCAGATGGCATTAGAGTAACTCCAGACAGCCAGGGCCACTGTCTCCCTAGGACTGAGCTCTCCGGTGAGTGTCAGCGCTCCACAGCCATCCACCAGGACACTTGTCACTCCTGAGGGCCTGGCATAGGTGGCACCCCCATAGCCCTCCCCTGGTGGGTCCCTCCCATGGGGTCAGGAGGCTTTGGGCCAGCTAAGCCCTCCTGGGTAGTGCCATTTCTTTGAGACCAACTCCAGATGGTGGGACCCCAGAACCCCCAGCCAAATGGTCGTGAGCCCACCTCTCCGGGCTGCGCAGCCTGTCCCAGGGGCTGGCAGTGCCAGGAGGAATGCGGGTGAGCCGAGCAGGGCCCGGTTCTTCACCTGATGTGTAGGTGTGTTTGGCAGGTAGGAAGCTGGAATGTGTCTAGTTGAAAGTCCGTTAGGTTGGTTGGTAACTTGTTAAATATTGGACACATGTGGGTACTGAAAAAGTCAGAGGAGCCTGGCTGGCACAGGCCTCGCCCATGCACAGCCATCTGTCCCCACATTGTGACTCGCGGAGCAACGAGGGGCTGGCGCAGGGTCAGGCCCTGTCCGGGGAGCTGGGAGTACAGCCGTCAACAAAGAGCAGGTGTCCAGTCCCTTGGGAGCCCCAGTCTGGGGGCACACCTGTGGAAGACCTCAGAGTGTAGGGAGGCGTGCTTGGGAAGGTGGGGCCACCTGGGGGACTCCTCTCCCTGCATGGACATCAGGGCTTCAAGAGTGGACCTCACAGTGCCTGCCTCCCTCCCTCTCTTCAGTCACCTTGGGTAGCTCTTGTGGAGGGGCCAGATGAGAGGGAGGCGGGGAGGGAGTGAACTAGTGAAGGGGTGGGTGGGTGAGTGAGCGGAGGTTTCACATTCAGGCTGTCTGCTGGTCCCCGCGGCAGAGTTTCCATTGGCAACATGAGTGAGATGAAACGGTGACAGGTTTGTGGTCAGGGACTGCAGATCTAGTCACGATGAGGTCATCCCTAACCGTCACGGAGGGGAGCGTGGTGAGCACACAGTGCAATACACCGGCGATGCATCATGGATGTTATTAACCAATGTCACCCAATAAATGGAAATCGATAAATAAACAAACAAAAGAGCAGGCACGGAGACGTGCAGAGGAGGACGTCCCATGAGAACGGAGGCAGAGACGGGAGTGGTGAGGCCGGAAGGCCCCGGGGCGGCTCCAGGAGGATCAGCCCCGAGACACCTTGACCTCGGACTTCCTGTCCCCAGAACTGTGAGCCACCCAGTTGGTAGTAATTAGTTACAGCTGCCCCAGGAGACTGATACATAACCTACCGTCAGGATGTCACGTGGTCCCTCTCTCTGTCTACTCTCACCCCAGCCCAGAATATTCCAGGCTCTTCTAGAACCCCCGGCTGTCACTTTGCAAGCCCAGGGTGCATGCCCCTGTCCTGGGCCTGGCCTCTGAGAGAGCCCTGGAGGGAAATGTTTACCTGAGAAGGTAAAATGACATTATTTCATTTAAAGAGGGAGGTGGGGCGGACATGTATTTTTGCGTTTTTATTTCTGAAGCTCGTTTCTATATGTGTGTTCTCAGTGTCTGTCGTGGAGAACACAGTGAGCGGCCACCGCACAGAAATGAGGACACCATTTACACAGCAGCCTGCAGGCTGGACAACAAAGCCTGAATGTGCCCGGGGGTGCCTGGGCCCCTCCGTCCTGGTGCCCTGTCTCCATCTCTGTGCAAGTGTGTGTGAAGTACCTGAGGCAATAGTGGCGACATGACCTGGCCCAGGAAAGGCGTGTCAGGGGGACAGCCAGGATCTGCGTCTGAGTTGTACAGTTCCCAGGGAGCCCGCTTGCTCATGGTAACGTAGCAGACCCAGTCCTGTACTCTGTCACGCATTGGTGAGGGCTGGAGGCTGAGGGTCCGTCACCTGCTTGTTCCTGATTCACCCTGTTCCGAGCCCTCAGCTGCCTCCTCAACAACGATCCAGGAGGCTTTGGAACAAAGGACTGCCACCATTCTCTGAGCCTCCTTGGCAGCTGTCACCCTTCCTGGGGTCCCCCGGCATTTCCAGCTGATGGTATTCCTGAAAACACGTTCCTGATAGGCAGCACGTGGACTGCCCTGCTGGAAGTCAGAGCCGCTGGTACCCACCCCACAGCTACCCCGAGAGGTCCAAGGTGGCCTTCAGCATCAGACCTGCTTGGCACAGAGCCCAGCCCAGCCCAGGGCCCCCACAGTGCCCAGGCACGCATGAAGGTGTGCGGTTTGCAGATGTTCTAAGGCAGAAACACAAAAGCCCTCTCACAGTCATCCAAGCAACGCCCACAGCAAAGCTCTGGAAATAAAGTCATCAGCACGGGTGCTGACCAGGCACCTCCCCGAGCATGGCATGTGCCAGCTGCAGGCAGCAGCAGGCGGGCACGTGGCCTCTGCCAACAGCCCTGCTGTTTGCCAACAGCCAAGTGATCTGGCCAGGACAAACCGTGGTTGAAGGGGCCTCCCTGCAGCCTGGGACAGTCACCTTTCCCTGGTCATGCTGCCACCTGCCGTGTGAGGCCCCATGGGCACGGCTGGGGGGCCAGAACCCAAGGGGCAGGGGCTCATGAGAAATCAGTGGCATGTCTTCCAGAGCGGCCTTCACAGCCAGCGCTGGGGACTCTGGCTGGCGGATTCAGCAGGACTCCTCCCCGAGCCTCTCCAGGCTGCACGGGGAGGCCCAAGAGCCTGGCTGTGGCCCTGGGGGCTGGACAGGCCTGGGGAGCACGTAGTCATTTGCGAGCGATGTAGGTAAGCCCTCCTCCTCCGTGTCCTTGGAGCAGGCGAGCTTGGTGACATCGGTCTTGGCACGCCACTTTTTCCACTCCCTGTGGATTCTGGACACCTCTTGGCGTGAGTGGTCCGTGGCCAGCACGTAGATGATGGGGTCGGCCACGCTGCTCACTGTGGACAGGCAGAGGGACACCACGGACACCGTGCACAGTCTGACTTCGAAGGCGCACACGGAGCTGGAGTCACCTCTGTAATAGGAGAAGGTGGCAGCTTTGACCAGGAGCAGCAGGTGGTAGGGTGCGAAGCACAGAAGGAAGATGCCCACGACCGCAGCGGCCGTGCGCCTCACGTGGGCCTTGCAGGAGGCACTCAGGCCCTCGCTCAGCTCCACGCTCCTCAGCACGCGCTGGTTGGTGAAGGCGATGATGGACAGGGGCACCGCGAAGCCCGCGGCAAAGCGTGCGTAGTAGTAGCCGGCGGTCAGGCCGTCCATGGGCACCGTCTCGAAGCAGGTGCCTCTGTACTCCATGTCAAACACGGGGTAGTGGATCAGCCCGACCAGGAGGAAGACCAATGTGCACAGGAGGACGGCGGTTTTCTGCTGCCGGCGGCCGCGGCTCTCCAGCGCATACACCACGGCCATGAAGCGGTCGAAGGACACGCAGCACAGCAGCAGGATGCTGACGTAGAGATTGCAGAAGAAGACGTAGGCTGTTACCTTGCAGGCCCATGGGCCCAGCGTCCAGCGGTGCTGGTTCTGCACGTACAGCGCCCAGAGCGGCAGCGTGCCCGCGTACAGCCCCTCGCACAGCGCCAGGCCGGACAGGTACACGGCCAGCACATTGCCCCGCAGGGCCTGCCCCAGGGCCAGCCAGCCCGTCAGGCAGTTGGCAGGCAGCCCCAGAGTGCACACCACACAGTACAGCATCACCACGAACACCCTGCTGTCTTCAAAGGGCATGGTGCAGTTCGCCGGGGCCACGCTGGAGAACAGAGGCACAGGGACAGGGCGGGTCACCAGGGTGGTGTTCCCTGTGGGGCAGAGACAAGCATGAGGATGGGTGTCCCAGGAAACTGCCTGGAAGGGACTTTACAGCACTAAGAGAGGATAAATTCTTGGTCCCTCCACGCCAGACATGCCAGGAGCTTCAAATGTCCAAATGGGTTCCTCAAAGGGCTCCTTAGATCTGTGATCTCCAACCCGATTGGCCACAGAAAACAGGCTGTGCCACACTGAGTCCTTGCCACTCACTGAGGTCATTTTTCAAAAGGAGTGTTTGTATACTTGAAAAAATAGTTTATTCTCCAACTGCTGAGAGAGGGCTCTGCTATGCAGTCTCCACAGTCTATGGTCCGGCGAGATAGGTGACTCCTGTCTGTGCTCAGGTTGTCCCCAGCTGGATGGCTGCCTCTTCCCTCCATCCCCTGCCACCGTGCGAGTCCTCCCTGGCCCCCAGCACAGCCCCATCTGGCCAACCCCATGGACAGTCACACACTCAGGGGGGTGGACAGAATCCAAAACCCAGGTGGGGATCTCTCCAGGTGGAGCAACTCCGGTTCCCCGCTGCTCCCCACCAACCCACAGCACTGCCCACCCTCTGGACTGGCCATTGTAGTTCAGTGCCATGCCACCTGCTCAGGGCCACACATGTTTGGGCACTCGGCCTCCGGCTCCACCTCCCTATGCCAAGTCCCTTCTCTGTGCCCAGTCTGGTGACTGGTCCTGGCTATGCCAGTGAGAGCCTGCCCCCTTCCTCCACAGGTGGCCTTCTTCCTGGGGTAGGGGCAGAGGAGCCCGCGAGAAGGGGACGGGGCTCCCGTGAAGCACTTGTGACAGCTCCGTGGCCCGGCACTGGGTCTCTCACAAGAAATGGGGCTAAGTGAGGCCCAGAGGACACCTGAGCCTCCGGCTCTCCCCTCAGCTACAATCCTAGTCTTTCTGGCTCCTCAGAAGGACAAGAAATGGGCACTTCCCAAATTCTTGATGGGATGGAAAGCCTCTGGCTTTGTCATTTCTGAGTGTGAATCTATTTCTCTATGCTAATTTTTGATGTAATTATCTCTATTCTCGGACAAAGTGCACTGTGCAGAAATTCTTATGGTCTCCCTCCTAAGTGTTTCAAGTTAAAGGATGCAGGGGGTCCTCACTCACCTGGCATACTTGCAGGGTCCAGCATCACGGTGCCCCTACAACAGGCCTTCCCGTGCACATCACAGGGCACATCATGTCCTGTCGGTCCTTTGAGAAGGTCACTCAGAGTTTAAAATGACCTGGAGAAAACGTAGGTTAAAATTGCTTTAGGGAAATCACATCAACTCATAAATTAAGTCATTGACAAATGGTTAGTGAGCATCTGTTATGAGAACTGCCTTGTGTTTATCCTATGGGAAACGACAGTTCCTTAATATATAAAGAAATCCTACGAATTAACAAAAATAAGAAGTGTCAAAGCCAGAGAGCAGATAATTCACAGAAGAAACAAAAACAGCTCCTAAAAATCAAAACAATGCTCAGCTCCACTTATAATTAAAGAAATGTGGGGCCGGCCGAGTGGCTCAGTTGGCTAAGAGCTCACTCAAGAGTGCGAGCTCTGGGGCCGGCCGAGTGGCGCGCTGGCTTGGGACCCCAGCTCTGAGCAGCAGGGCCCCGGTTCAGATCCTACATGAGGGCCAGGGACACTGTGCCCTCTGTAGCTAAGATGGTGAACAACAGCTCGACCTGAAGCTGGGCTGCCATGAGTCGCCGGCAACGGCATAGGCTGCAGTCCCTGCTGCAGTGGATTGCCATAAGCTACAGTGAGGGGATGGCCAGCGAGTGACTGCCTCAGCTGGGAAGAGCACAATGATAATACCAACATGGGCCTGTGAAGCGATGTCCTCCACAACTAGACTGAAGAACAAAAAGGACAGCAACTTGTCTGTTCCCCTGCCCTGATTCCTTAATGCTGTCCCCCTCTCCCAATTCCCCAATAAAATCTTTAAAAAACAAACAAAAAAAGTTTTAATAAAAATATAAAAATAAAAAGAGTGCGAGCTCTGAGCAACAGGGTCGCCGGTTCGAGTCCCGGCCCAAGCTGAGCTGCCACTGAGCTGCCAACAGGATGGCTCAGCTAAAAAAAAAAAAAAAGACTTCCAGTAAGATGGCGGAATAGACAGATGCTGTGCCGACTGCCTCCCAGGATCACACCAAAATTACAAATAATTTATAAGATATTCAACCTTGGAAGTTCCCTGGACACTAGATGAACAGAATCTCTAAACCAGCGGTTCTCAACCTGTGGGTCACGACCCCTTTGGGGGTCAAACGACCCTTTCACAGGGGTCACCTAAGATCATCAGAAAACAAAAAGATATTTACATTACGATTCATAACAGTAGCAAAATTACAGTTATAGAGTAGCAACGAAAATAATTTTATGGTTGGGGGTCACCACAACATGAGGAACTGTATTAAGGGGGTCGCGGCATTAGGAAGGTTGAGAACCGCTGCTCTAAACGAAGGACTTAAAGAGGAGGCCACGTCAAGTCCGGTAGGAGGGGTGGAGATGAGAGAGGGCAAACCCCGTGAGGGACACCTCAGTGGTGGGGAGGCTTCTCTGGTTGGGGGAGAGACCCTCCGGCCCCACACTGCACTCACCACCCCACAGTTACTTTGCCAGGAAGAGGAGATCTATGATAGCTGGCAGTAGAAAATAGTGAGGACTCTGTTTGCTCAACTTGGTGATGCTGAGGGTGGCTAGAGAACTAGTGGAGCCGGCAAACTGAATTGCTCACTGGTGAGCACTCACCCGGTTCCTGGTGGAGGGAGTGGCTTTGTGAGCGGGGCCCAGGAGCCTCTGGGAAGGACTGAACTGAGTGCCTTTGGCGCAGGAGCTGGAGGTTTTGGGGACCATTGTTCCCCTGGTGTGGAGCTTGCACACGAGTAGTGTATAGGAGGGTACCATTTTTTCAGTGTTGGGCCCTCCCACAGAGGCTCAGGTCCAGGACAGCATTGGTCGGCTGGAATTGGCGCAGGAGTGCATGTGTGTGCGTGTGTGCACGTAGGCCTTGGATCCCCACCCTCCGCACTGTTTGTGCTGTGTAGCCAGGGAAACGCCGGGCAAGCACTTTCCGACTACAACAGACTGCTTGTTGAGACCCGGAAGTGTGCGATTCGCCTTAGGTCCCCGATTTCCGCACTGCGCATGCAGAGTTGCCTGGGTGGCAATTGGCTGTCAGGCTGCTCGGCCTGACCTGCGAGCAGCTGATTGGAAAAGGCTGAGACTGGGAGTTTTCCTGGGAGTGTAGGGCCGTGAGCTGTGCGCCTGCGTGATTCAGCCGGGGCTTTCTAGGTGAGTTTGTGTGGGTCGGCTGCCGATGCAGGAGTGCATGCTGCTCTGACTTGGTGGGGGCCACTGACCACACCCTGTGGTACCTTGGGGGCCTGCCCTGCCCACCTAGAGCTGTGTTGCCAGGGGCACCCTGAGCCCCTGGTCCCTGGCCCCTACCTCTGCAGGCCGGAGAGGGTTTTTTTTTGCAGCAGACAGCCTGCAACAACCTGTGAGGATTTTGGGTGGTGAGCACGGTTCCAGAGCACACAGCAACTAATTGTGGGAAGCTTACTTCAAGTCTAGAGGGAGGTCGGCACATGATGAACTGAGCCCTTTCCCCCAACAGCTGGTGCTGAGTTTCCCAGAGTCTCTATTGCTGAGCAAGTGGTCTGCAGATTAAAGTGGGCAGAGAGCCCCTACCTTTTCTTTTTTCTTCTTCTTTTTTTTTTCCCTCTTTTTTTCTTTTTTCTTTCTAGGTGATCCAATACATCGAAGCAATCAGAGTGACAGCCAGAATGAGGAAACAAAGAAACATGTCCCAAGTAAAAGATCAGAAGAAACCTCAAGAAATGGAACTAAATGAAACAGAGATATCCAACCTTTCAGAGACAGAGTTTAGAACACTGATGTTAAGAATGTTTAAGGAACTTAAGGAGGACATAAAGAAGGATACAGAAATCATAAAAAATAACCAGTTAGAACTAAAGAATACAATAACTGAAATGAAGAACACACTCGAA